AAGGGGCTCGTATAGGCCTGTAGTTGCAAGAGTTGGTTTTAAATCCCTTTTTTTGGAATGGGTTTTCTGGAAAAATGACGGATTATTTGTGGGATATCTGGAAGCAACGCAAGAAACTGAAGGAAAGTCCGCTGCACATCTCTTCAGTACAGACTAGAACCTGCGTTGATGTCGAGCGACAAAAGCACCAGTCCTACGGTCTCATGCTTCAAGGTTTTTTCCCTTTGAATCGAGGTCACTCGGGCGTTTGAGGAGGATGTCCAAGACCTTGACAATAACTTCCGCCTTAACCTTCAAGTCGGTTAAAATCGTTCCATCCTGGCAAGTCAGCGATGGAAGGCTACTATTTGCTTGGCCAATGTCCAGAAAGACTGACTGTCATTGCGCTGCGACATTACCCTGTATATTGTTAGCGAAAATGATAATCGTATTTGATCTGACTCCAAATACATATCTGTGCCTTAGAGGTAAACGATCGTAACTCCATTTTGCAGTTTTTGTGATTACCTGCGTATATTTAGGATCCCTGGTTAATCTTTAGGTGGAGTAAATGATCGTAGCGCCTAACCACGATAATCATCAAATATATGAAATAGAACAAGCAGCTAGTGATTTTTTGTTAGAGGTAAACAGCCGCTTCTCCATACATACGCACAATACTGATATGAATCATCGCTACGCAGCGGTAAATAGTCGGGTCTCCGTCGCGCACAGCTTGCTTTACAAACTGTGTTGTTCAATCATTCTTCAAATTTGATCAAGGTGCTTAAGTAATCAAAAAACGGTAACAATGCCCTTAAGGGCTCAAAAATTAGTGCAGCTTGCACTGGAGGGAGGAGGAATTCGATTCTCGAGAATATAGTAAGTACAACATAATTGATATTATAGGTGTCCGAGCCAAAACAGGTACGTTATGTTGATCGTAAACTACTTTTACATATTACAAATAATAAGTCCTTCATTAAAGTGTATCATTCACAAGTTTCTTCTACGTGGACACACACACATGGAAGGTGATCATATCCATGCACTTATCAAACGAGTTATAAAAAAACAACCAACCATGAAAATATGTTTTCGAGATGCAGCTAGATGACTTCAAGAACTTCGAGGCTTTATATTCCGGCACAGGATCTCCTCTCATTCAAAAGAAACAGACAGTAGACAAAGAAAGCTTTTTAGTGTCATCAGCGGTGTGGCTTGAGGATCTAAAAAGGATCCAGGGATACTCTACTATAAAACAGACATATTCCAAGAGGACTACAAAATGGTAGACATGAATAGATGTTCTAGAAAACCGATAGGGTTACCATGTTTGCCGCGTCAAACCCCAAAAGGACAAGAAAAAGCACAATCATCTTCTCGTGCTTCTGCAATGGATACCAGAAGCATTTCATGATTTTTATAAAAATATTCCTGTGCTGAGTCAACAAGGAGATGGTGACGACGACGAAGATTGAATAAATATTCCCCAGATGTCATTTTTTGTAATAATAAAATGTAGCCTATTTCCACCAGTTGTACTTACTGTGTTTCATCCTATGCTGCACCTAGATTTTATCATCCTAGTAAATAGTCGTAACTCACAAAGTAATCTGAATATCAAATTCTAAGATCATCAGCATGAAGCATTACTGTTCTGTGTACCATGTAATATGTTTTCCCAAAAAACTATATTCGCATATTAACAGTTATATGAACAAAAAGCCATTCTGCTACTAACACAATATTTAATTGCTTGCTCTCTGAATTGTATTATATGGAGTTTGTTATGCTTACTTGTATGACTTACTCACTTGTGTCATTCAGCCACATGCATCCGACCCTATGCCAGATTGCAAGGACGGCTAGATGCAAACTGGATTGAACTAGAATCCTCAAGAATCAATGGCATCCAAAATGTTTGGCCGAACTAAAATAATAAGTATAATAAATGATATACACGGTGTTCCTTAATGATATGCGAATACTTATGGGTGTGAATCTACATGAAAAATTAATGTTAGTTTGCTTTATAAACTATGGTCCAAAAATGTGTCCTTACAAAAACTGTGGGTGTTCAAGAGATCACTTATTATAAATTGAATGGGGAATTCAAAAATAATTTTGAATTGGCAAACAATTGGCGTACTTACCATTTTTTTTTCTTAAAAGATGTTGAAGACAATACCCGTACGCACGCCACTGTTAAAGCTAAAAATTATTTTTGCATTGAAAAATATGCAGCTTTACAAACTTTCACAATGTACAAAATATCAGTGAAATATCTGAAGCGGTTCTGAAAATATTAATTAATTTCCATTTTTTTCCTAAAGCTTCAACACGGTTTTGTAAGGAAACATTTTTGAACCATAGTTTATAAAGCAAACTAACATTAATTTTTCATGTAGATTCACACCCTTTAATATTCGTATATCATTAAGGAACACCCTGTATATTCCGAATCAGGGTACTTGAAAGATTACATCTTTGTTCGATTGCACTTTTACATAAGGCACGGTTGTACCGGATTTTTTCTAAGCAGCCTTCCAAAATGTCGGAGGGGGTCAATTCACAGTGGTTTAAATTGCAAATATACAGTAGCTTGACTTAAACCAAAAAACTTGTTTGTGGGCGAATTCGCCAATTTTTGACTTTTACTTAGTCGGGGCTAAAATTATTTTGTTGGTTCAGTCTGTCATTGGTTTGACGTCACTTCCATGTTTTTTTATTCTGTAAACGTTTCCAACTCCAGAACTAAATACTGAATTGTTTCAAGTCCTACTAAATTAAAGCAGCGTGTTTCGATGCAATGAACCCAAGCTAGGTAGAACGAGCCAGTGAAGGATTCATTTATCTCCTAATTCTCACAGTAGTGAGGGTCTTGGTCAAAGTTCACTTGATTTAAGTCAACTTTCGGAGAGTTCTGTTATTATATTCCTATTTTTACTGTAATGCTTTAAAAATGCGAGTGTTTGCACATAATTGTGGTATTAGACGAGTTCAAGACATGGTACTTCTTACATAATTTGCAAAGTGCGCACTAGCCCAATGAAGGTAGATGTTTCCACCGGTAAGTATTATTAGTTTGTTGATACAACGCTTCCACTTTGGTAAGCATTGGTAGAGAAATGATTCAAAAGTATGCACTAAAACAATGCAACATGAACACATAGGCTTGGCTCCTTCTAATCTATCCGAATTCGTTGGTTCGATCTAACAAGGAATCACTGTTTAACGTCACCCCTCACATTTTATTTAATGTTTGTCATTTCTGAATCAAACGAGTAAATGTTCAGCTGCGAAAAGTGACAGGGACACATAATCCGATAATTCTGAATCAGAGCCGTGATTGAGAGGCGCAAAACCAGAAAAACCATTAGAAAGTTCCATAATAACGTTACGATCGTATCAGATGAGCACGCAAACGTTTGTGCTGTACGTTCAGATTAAGAGTTATCCCATATATCATGTGGTCCGACAATCCGTATACGTCCTTATTGAGCTGGAAAACCGAGCATTCTTCAGTTGAGACATTAATCTGGATTAACCGTCAGGCTGTCCTTTACGATATTTGAAAATGAGTGCGCTGGTAAAGATCATTACTCTTAGCATATACAGGTCATAGCCACAATAACACAGCAATCCTCCTTAAACATACATACATACGTATACATACCCAAATGGACAAAGTGAAATAGTAGGTAGTATATACTAAAGTGAACCATACACGGTCAAAAATATTCGCAAATATGTTTGAGCGTGTGTGACGTAATTTTCAATCAAGTTTGAATGTTTGCAAGCACATTTGATCAAATTAAAAGTTTTTGATTTTGTATGGGCGGGGCCTTTTCAAGAGCTGAGAATTTGCGTGTGTGTGGCATTGTTTGAAAACATTTCGTCAAAGTCTAGTAGGCTGTTTCAAGGTTAAAGTCCTCACTTCGCGTCAGGCGGAGTTGTCTTTGATCGAGATTTTACGTGTACTAACTTAAGATATGGCGATTCCAAACAACGAAAAGTGGAACAGTTTTTTTGAAATATGTCGAAGTTTTTCCGAACTGTGGCAAATTAAAAGCGATGTGTACAAAAATAAATCGAAGAAAGACAAAGCATGGGAAACCCTGTTGTTGGAATATAAAGAAGTCGATTCTGAAGGTACTGTGGAAAAATTAAAAGCCAAAATAACTAGCATAGTCGAGAATTGAAAAAATTAATAATTCTGTAAAATCCGGAGCAGGTGAAGACGATGTGTATGTACCATCCATTTGGTATATTTTTGCGTGGATTTCTTGAAGGACCAAGAGGTACAGTCTCCAGGAGACGATTCAATTGATTGCGAAAACAGGGAAACAATAAATATACCACCTCAGCCTAAAAAAAGTAAGGCTAATACTTCGGAAAAGTAAAGAGAGATTCCTACAAAAAGCAGTTAAACATTTAGAACATTCTCAGAAGCAGAAGGACGACGCTGCGACTTTTTCTGAGTACTGGGCCTGTTTGTTTCGAAAACTATCGGATACACAACAATTGTATGCCAGAAAAGCTAAAGACGACATTTTTTTGTTGGGGCAATTGAATCAGCTTGCACTAAATACTGTGTCGGTAACAACATCAAATACCTCTTCACTTTCAAGTTCTAGCACCTCAACGCCTAATTCATTTCCTCCTCCTTCTCCAATACCTTCAAATCGAATAGTACTTCGGCAGTTATCTAGTCATTCACAGGATTTCAACATCAACAAATTTAACAAACAGAACCCGTTGAAAGATATGAAAGCGTAGGAGATCTTTTCAGTGACCCACGTTATGTGTGAAACCTATCAATACTGTAAAGTTGAGTATAGTTTAGTTAAAATTGAAGAATTATGTTTATTATCTATTATTTATGTTGTTTAAGTTGTAAATGTATGTGAGTTTATTTAGAAATAAAAAACTGAGTTCATTGACTATATTTTATTGGTCAATATTATTATGATTGATTACATTACAAAAGTCATCCCTTGTTCTTTTTGCTAAGTTACTTGAATTTCTGGCTTGTGATGACCTAAGAGGTACCATGTTAAGCCCATCTTGCGATGAACCGCTGCTTCCGGTTACATTTACTGACTGTGGTGTATCCTGTTGCCAAAAAAATATGTAAATAACAACAGGTCGGCACAATAGTCGTTGCTTTAGAGGGACATAGATTTATAGGTTTTAATAGGACTTGAAAACGATTGGCCAGCATTCCAAATACATTTTCCACTTTAACACGAGCTGAACTGAGTTTCGCGTTAAAAGACTGCTGTTGTCTACTTATAGGTTATCCTGTATTTGGCTTTAAAATGTTTTCCTTTAACGGAAATGCATCATCTGCTACAAACACAAATGGTAAGATTTGTTCTCCAGGTTCCACCACTCTAGGTGGTGGAATTTGAAGATCCCCTTCCGGTAATAATTTGGCAAACTTTGTGTTATAAAACACGCGACCGTTTTGCCCGACATCAACCATTAAAAATTGCAGATTAGCATTCACGACTGCCATTAAAACAACACTGATTGTATTTTTATAGTTAAAGTAAGAAGACCCTGAGTGTGCTGGCTTCTTTATTTCCACATGTTTCTCATCTATAGCGCCGATGCAATTTGGAAAACCAGAAACGTCTTCAAATAGCTCTGCTTCTTTTCGCCATTCATCAGGCGTTTCAAGTAACCAAAATGAGATGAACAACATAGGTTTGAACTATATTGGTTTTAAAATTGGAATACATACCATAATACAATATTTCAATACATGCTTCAATGACAATTTTTCCTATAGCTTGTGGAGAAACTGCGTAAATAAACTTCAAGTCTTCAAAATCATTTCCCTTTGCTAGGAATCGGAGAGTAATTTTCTTGTTTCTGCCGAAATAGCTTCCCTCATTAAAGTATTCTGTTTCGTTATAAAAGGTCCAACTTTGTAGAGAAGTTCATCAAACGTTATTCTGAAGTAATTTTTATAATCTACCGGTTCACTTCCTATAAGGTGAGGCAACAATCTCCAACTTGAAAAGGTTTCCTTCTCCAAAAGCCATTTTTTCACCCATGTTCTTGGCTTACGCGTTTTACTTTCTATATCGTCTTCATCACACACTTCAGAAATTATCATTAAAGCCAAGATATCTTCCTTACTACACATTTCTTGACAATATTAACACAGATGAACAACATCATATCTGCAAATAAATTTGACCGTGCATGGTTCACTTAAGACGTTTCCATGTCTGTCAATTTTGCACGATAACACAGTCACCTAGAAGTAAACTAGATGGTCAATAAATCCAGACCGGACTCAATATTGAAATGTTAGACTATGTACAAAAAGGGCAATGCATCTCGTTTATTGAGTCGCAAAACAGATTGCGTTTCCTTTATTCAAATATCTTATTTTTAGCAGTTTATGTGACACAATAATTTCAAGGGTGATCAACTTGACTTAATCATTTTTAGAATAATGCCTAAAACTGAATTAAAGATCTCTTTAGAACTCAAAGTTCCTGAATCGAATTTAATTTTTTTATTCCCTTGTGTTTCATCAAGTGTAATACACTTTACGTTATAATCTCAATTTACAGTTACTTCACAGAAAAAAGACCAATTCATGACATAAATAAAATGCACAATAAATGTTATGCACCTCATTTAGTTTTTACAGTAATTTTATATTGATTTTATACATGTTATACAACAACATAAGTTCTGCATTAAATGGAAACTGCATTTTCATCATAGTTTATAGCTGTCACCACAACCCCACGCAATTAAGTCAAGTCCGGACCTGTACACTACGTTTATGTGGATGTTTAAACTGATTTCGAGTTGGTTTGTATGACCAAGTTTAATGGAATTACATATTAAGAAGAATGCATGCTGTTGTGCAATAAAAAATTACCGATAAAAAGTAAATATGGAGAACAACATGAAATTTCATTTTACTTACATCATGTATCGCCCTCTTTTCTGCAAAATATTAAATTCAGAGGATAGCTCAATAAAATACCTGATAATGATAATGTAAGGAAATTTAAACAGCTGAACCCGACCAAAACATCAAAACATCTTCAGTTCAAGTTCAAATAAAAATATTTATCGATCGATCGATTTATCTTGCCATGAATAAAACAAGGGAAAATGGGCTGTTAAGTTTTTGTGGTGGCTGCGTGTATTGTTTGGTGATAAAGAAGCATTCAGTTTTCGTTCATTACGGTATCAGTTGAATGTTAAATTTCCTGTGGCTTATTGGAAAAATATAGCAGCACACTTTTTTCGTGACATTGTGATCAGCATTCTTGAACATGGTGAATGTGCTAGTATGTTAAGGAATTTTAAAAAATGGTGGCAGCGTCCATGTGAAGCTATACATTCCCGATGTGTGGGCCGCACTGATTGACATCTTTTTGATTGGTCCAATAATACTCCCGAGGACAATAAACGGAGAGAGATTTCTGGAGCTTTTGCGGACTGAACTGCCCTTGCTGTTGGAAGAAGTGCCGCTGCAAACCCGTCGAAGAATGATGCTTCAAATGGATGGATGTCCTGCCCATTACTCGCTGATTGTCAGGTCTTTTCTTAATGAAAATTATCCAGGCCGCTAGATCGGTCGACAAGGACCTGTTGGGTGGCCGGCGCGTTCCCCAGATCTCACACCTTTCGACTATTTTTTATGGGGGACAATGAAACAAAGGGTGTACAGCAGTTATATAAACAGCGAAGCGGAACTTGAAGAAAGAGTTTTGCGTGTTGCAAACGAAATCAAAAATGATCCCGAGATGATTCGTAGGGCAACTCATCAAATTTCACTTCCCGCTACAATGTGTTTGCAGCAACGGGGTGCCAACATTTGATGCATTAAGCCAAAATGATTATTCTATAGACAAGTCTATTTGATTTTATTTGTTAAAGATAATGAATGATTCATGTTAGGTTAATACTGTTGTTTTATTCCTACTCTGGCGTTGAACTGAGTTCACTGCTTTTAAAAACGCTGATTTAAAAACTTGTATCTAAGTAATAAACTTGCAATTTTTCACCATTAGGAAGCTAATAACATGTAGAATAACTTGACATTTAAAAAAGGTAGGGTAAATAGGACAATTTTTATTGAAATTTAGCAATTGTTTTAAAAATCATTGAAAAAATAGTGAGTTTCAGCATATTCCTCTTTATTTTAAATTTATAGCATTTAATTTCGTGGAAATTTTCACTTTACTGGTACGGCCTATTATTTGCAATCACTACAAAATTTATTCCAATATGATAGGACATTCAGTTTAAAAGTTGTAACTATTTATTTAAATAGGGTTAGCAGCTGACTCAAAAATTTAAAATATTCATAAAAAATCAATTATTGTTTTTAGTTTTTTTTTGATAATTTTTCCGTCAATAAAATAAGGTGTAGTTTCCTTGATTTTGCTATGTGCACTTTATGAAGACTCACACTGTATGTTGCTTGCCACAATCACCTGAACAGTTACTGAATAAGTTTGTGTCTCAGAACAATACTCCATCCATGAATGCTTGAGCCACCCTGTACACGTAATAGAACTATAAACAGCTGTTACATATCCCAGTAATAAGGTACTGACTACTTAACGTAGACGCCCTAGATACTTTTAGGGCCCATAAACATTTTCCCCATTTAGTTACTAGACATTTGAAAACTCAGCCGAAAGGAATTTCCCTTTTTGATGTAATAGTACCTTTCACTTTTTTATACCAGAGCAGCCACGCCTTAATGCCACGGCTGCTATAAGGATCCCAAAGAAAATTTGTTAATCCGATTTCTGAACTGCCTAAGGTTAGTAGGACTGGAAAAAACGTCCTGTTGTAGATAGTTCCACAATCTCGATACCCTATAGACAAAGGAGCGGTCGATCGGCACGGTTTGGATATACTAAATTACGTACGCTCAAATACAGGCTGTTTCACAACTTATCCGACAAATTTGAACCACATATGCACTGTTACGAAAGAAGTTGATTTCTCAAGAAAAATGTGATAAAAACCTTACAGAAATTCAGTTACAAACCTGAGCTCAATAATAAATTGAAAAATAAAGATGTGTATTTTTGCGTTGTGTTATTAGAACGCGCATTGATGATTTATTGTAGCAAATGTTGTACCAAATAACTGACGAAAGAAAAAATACCAGGGATTTTTTGTTTTATTGTACTAATAAGAACGTATAAATAAGGTTTAATCTGTAAAGTAGGTGATCTGAATGAACAACGGTCGATTTTTGTGAATCAAATAAGAAAGTATTTTGCGAGTTTATGTGTTTAGTTATTTATTAATTAAAATGGCACATGTGTACACTAATGAGGAGTTAGTGGATATTATCACACACCACATCACGAAACATTTAGTTCAACTGTTTTACGTGCACGTGGTAGTTGAGATTCGGGCCCCAGAGATGGAGTAGAGGGGGGTCGGGTTCACCCACAACACTCTTTAAATGCCGAACACGAAATTTTTGATATTGTGGAAGAAAATCCGGGAATACGCACAAGGCAGTTAGCCCAACAGGTCCCAGAAGTGTCACATGCAAAGCAGCGTGGCGCATATTACATGAGACCCAACTGTACCCTTATCACGTCCAGTGATGCCAGAGGTTGTTGCAAGAAATTTCTCGAAATCCCCGTTTTACATCTGTAGCTATTTTTACCCGTAATGTGATAATCAGTTTTCATAATACACACGTTTGGTCCTTTGAGAATCCTCACACAGTGGCCCAGACACACTTCCAACATCGTTTTTCTTTAAACCTGAGGGCAGATTTTGCCGATAAATGTCCAATTGGACCGTTCATATTGCCAGATCGGATGGATGGTCACCAGTATCTGGAATTTCTTCGGAATGATTTGCCGGCGGTCCGAGCACGGATGTGGATTCTACACGACAAAGCACCTAAGCATTTTCGTTTAGAAGCCCGTGATTTTTTTAATCAGGTATATCAGATACTCTGGATCGGAAGGGGTGGACCAATTGCATCCCAACTAGCAAAGTAGTGGTATAAGCTTTTGGTAAAAGAACCGTTCAGCCATAAAAGCTCTCTATTGTTGTCGCCTGAACACCAAAATGCTGGCTTAATATTGTGTGGAATGCAAATTTGCTTTCTGCAACATATATGCTCTTAATTGAGGTGTTTTAAATATTCTTATAGCATAGTTATACAACACCTTATAGGGCAAATTTTTAACTGTTGCATAAACGTTTATACAACTATTTTATAAGGCATATTTGCACGTTAGTCAAAATGGTTGTGTTGTGGCATCCATGGTAACGTTTATAAAACAAACCCGAGCTTTGTTGTTTTGCTGTGCAATTTACTAATTTAGCCAACAAATTGCTCCCAACGGAAGCACTTGTACAACTGTTGTTTAATAACTGTTAAGGGCTGTACATATGCTAAATATGTTGGTATACTAATCCACCATAACCTAACTTTCTGCTGTCATATTTTTGTTAAAATGCCATAACCAATGTTTTAAGACAAGCAACGCATGCATATTGGTTCAAAAGGTTTTATCAACTGTTCAAACAGAAGATATAGATCTGGTACAAATTCTGGGAAAATCATTCGACTCTGTCGGTATTTCATTTCAGACATTTGTCAAATTGTTGTATAACACCTGCACGCAACAACATGGACGATGCCATGATTATACACAACCACCTGCCATATTGGGCAAACATTTATTCCTCTATTTGATATTAAATAATTATGTTTCAGTTCGAAATTACAGATATAAAGTGATAAACATTAGTGTAATTGTGTCTAAATATAGGATTTGTGGAAGATCTAACGCAGATAATTTCAGTTTTCCATCTTAAAAATCTAGACATACTTTTGATCATTATGAAAATATGAATCAAATACGAAGCCCGTAGAAATTGCCTAAGTAATTTGCACGATAATCACAATAAAATTTGCTGCGCAAGTAATTCAATAGCCCTATATCACAGTGTAGAAGTTTATCATATACCTGTGTATGAAATTCACAATGGCCGATATGTAAGTAAACAAGATGACTGTAATGTGTTAGTTATATATTCTTCTTCGTCTATACGTAGAAATAGTTTGGTTGCAATAAAGTAGAATTACGTAACAGAATAGTTGAATAGTTGACAAAAACTGAATCTTGCAATGTCCTATAGCGGCTGCAAGAGGCGTACACTTTTGTTGTATAACTGCTACCTGCAGCCCTTATACAACCTCTTAAATGA